CACCAGGAAGAGCCAGTAATAGCCTTTAACAAAGGGAGTAAGGAGAAGCTCCAGGGAATTTCAGAACATGTCATTATCCTGTAATTTAATTTTTTCAATAACCATTGAGATATTACCAGAAGGATCAGAAATATATGCACAAAATTCAACTTTTACAGTTGTGCAAGTACCTCCTTGTACTGCTGTTAGGATATATAATGCCATCTGATTTTGGAAGACAGCTTGTCTCATTAAATTTACCTTTTCATCTAGAAGTGAGAGACCTGTTTAGGTATCATTTAAGGCCTGTTGAGTATAGTTAGACAAGGCTTTGATGTGTTGAATGACATCCTCTAATTCTAAGGAAATGGCAAAGGTAGAAGCCAAGTGATCATACTAGTGAGACACTAGTATGTTGTAGATGGAGTAAGTTCTCAGGTTGGTCAATATTTTTGACACTCTTGACTCATAACCTTGCAAATCCCAGTGTGCATCTACCTATCCATAAAAGAGATAGCCAGTATCACAAATTGGTTCTATAGTAGCAATGAGAGCCATTGGGTGGCTTCCCACCTAATTCTAGGTTGATTATATCAGTCTGTTGCAAACAAGCCTTTGATCTTAAAGTTATGATGTGCAAGCACAGCTCAGTGTGTGTCCATTCCAAGTATTCAGTCAAATTAGACCAATGAGAATAGGAGTGATTTCTTAGTTCCCAAGACAAAGGGGCCTTTTTACTAAGTTGTTCTATAGTTGGAGTTAAACCACATATTACCATCCCATATTTGAAAGTAGCCATCTTGATATCTATGATGGTTGGCTGTCATGATAGGACACTTACTCTTACTTTACTGGGGTTGTACTAGACTCTTTAGAGAGGCTTCAGTGGCATTCTTAGAAAAAAATCAAGTTATGTCCAAGATCATTAGGGTGGAGTTTATAGGCCACTTATTTATTTTGTAATAGTGGGCTAAACTATGAATCACTGAACTTTTTCATGTCTTTTCGCTATAGTCTCTGTAGTCTTCTACCTTATTCCAATTGTCTCCTTGAAATTAGAATACCCACCGAGAAAGTCCTGAAGTACTTGACAGGGGAAGTGGGCCAGATACCCAGCAAGGTGTTTTTTGTAATGACTCTATATTCTCCTGTGCCCACACTAGAAAGGAATTGTACAATGTTAAAGTATTTGTTAAAAGGGATAAGAGTAACATCTTGCTTATCTGAAGAACTTGTGATATTTTAGCAAGAATGTTAAGTCCTCTATGGGTTTATAAATGTAGTTGGATGGCTGCTCACATTCAGCAACCATTTATGGTTCCCAGGGTTTCAGTTGGGTATGATGCATCCAGAATTCTAGGCCTGCTACCTTGACAGCTGATGGAATTGACAGGATTATGGTGTGTAAAACATTCCAAGTTCCTCCTAGGGAAGGAAAGAATTTAGTAGCACTAAATTTCAAGGGTGGAATACGGGATTTCTCTTTTCTACAGGCTGAGCTTCTGTTAGCTCTTGAAGTCTGTTGGAATTTAGCCAGTGAAGTGACATCTTTTATTAAGGCATCTGTTTCTCTATTGAAAAGAAAAACATTAGTGAGAAAAGTGCATCCATAAAGCATTTTAAATGGACTGAGACCTAGAATTTGAAGTGTATTTCTTAGTGTGATGAGCCACAGGTAGTAAGTGAGGCAAATATAGGTGGGTTTCCTGAGCCATTTTGTGAAGCTGTCTCTTTAGGCTCTCATCCATTTTTTCTACCTTTCCCAATGATTGTGGCCTCTGAGCACAGTGAAGGTGACAGAGAATGCCCAGTGCAGGAGAGACATCCTGTGTGAATATTGCTTTAAAAGAAGGTCCATTATCACTCTGTAACATCTTAGGAAGTCCAAATATGGGGATGATTTCTAAGGCCAAAACCTTTACCACCTGTTGTGCTTTTTCTGTTCTACAGGAAAGGCCTCAACCCAATTCATGGAAGTATCTGGACCAATAGGTATAGGAGCACTTTCCTCTCCAGCCTATGAGTAAACTAGAGCTGCCAATCTTCTCCAGTGTATTTAACATGTTTCTGTGTACTTGGAGGGGCTATGATCCTGTTAATAGGATTTGATTTTTGGCAGATCTCACATGTCTTATCTATCTGCTTTATGGTTTGAAAGAGTTTCCTGTGAATATCTTTGAGGCCATCTCATGTGCTTGTCTCTCCCCAAGTACAACATTTGATGTAAAGATTTAATAATTTTCCTGAAAGAAGGGCCTTTGAGCAGCTTCTTTTGCAACTGCATCAGCCAGTTGATTATCTTGAGATAGTTCAATTCTTTTTTTGGTGTCCTCTACAGTGAATTACTGACACTTTGGAGTGCATATAGTCAGATAAAAAAAGTTCATCATCTCTTTATAATATTTTATGGGGGATCCACTGGCTGTTAGATCATTCCTTTTTAAAAAAAATATGCCTGCATGAGCATGCAGCAGTAGGAAAGCATAATTTGAATAAGTATAGATATTGACTTTTTGTCCTTCACCAAGTTGTAAAGCCCTAGTAAGAGCTATGAGTTCTGTTAGCTATGCACTAGCCCCAGGGGCAAGTGAGGAACTTTCTAGTGTCTAATACCGGTCACTTCTGCATACCCTGCCCTATTGACTCATTTTCCATGAAGGAATTTCCATCAAAGAGGAAGGTCAAATCAGAGTCAGTAAAGCGGTGTGTCTAACACATGGACTTTGACTACATATGTACGAAGAATTACTTATTCATAATTATGTTTTTCAGCCTCCATTTCTTCCTTACCTTGTAGAATGGTGGCAGAGTTTAAGGAGGAATACTTTTCTATTTCAATGGCTGGTCCTTCATGAAATACAGCCTTATATATATGAAGTGGATTGTCTGATAGCCATAGGCTCCCCTTTTTTGTTGTTGTTGTTGTTGTTTTTTGTTTTGTTTTGTTTTGCCTGACAGAGGCAGAATTTTATTATGTGATGGTTCTGAGACAGCAATCCACTTCCAAACATAGTACTGAAGCTTCTATATTAGCTGATTTTAGCAATGGTAAATCCGTATCTAATTTCCTAATCCATCTTCTTGTATGATCCTCATTGCCATCACTTGGCTCTGGAAAATCTTTTGTGGCAACGTCTGTCACATGAGAAAACCAACTTCCGTGTAATTTTTTGTCACAAAGGGAAGAATGTGAACATGCTACAGTAAGGACAAATCAATACTGCTTTTGAATGGCTCAAATGTTTTATGTAAATTCAGAGCATACTTTTCCAGATTTTATGAGCTAATTTCAACATCTTTATGTTCTACTGCATCCTGCTTTGTTCCACAGCAAGAGCCACAAACACAGGGTCCCAGCCACACGTGCTGGTCCTTGTGAGGAGGGGCAGAGGGGTCTGACCTGGCTGAGCCAATGGGGACCCTGCAGACAGTTGGATGATGCAGGGCCAAGTCTTGCCTCCTGGGGACACCACGAGGTGACAGAGGGGCCCCAAGGACCACAGCCAAAGAGAGGGAACCCTGGGGGAACAGGGCATGGGTGTCTTGGGTGACAGAAACCCTGTACCTTCTAAGCCTTCACACCCATTGCCATCTCCTGAACTACCCTCCCCCCACCCCGGGAAACAGATGAGGGCTCCATGGAGGGGTCTGACCCAGGAACTCAGGTGCAAAGCTGCTCCTGCCTGTTGGGTTCATATTACCAGCAGGTAGAATATCTTCATTTATTTTTCTGGTTCTGGGGACAGAGCCTGGGCCTTCTGTGTGCTGGCTATTGTACTGTAATGGGAAGGAGAAATTAAATTTCTGTCACTGAGGATGCAAATAGAGTGCTCCAGACAATTACACCACATGCTCAGTCAACACCATGTACATTCTTCCCTTCTACCCTTTTTCTTAGGCAGAATGTGGTCATCTAACTTCCACTACACATCTGTCATCTGTTTTAGACACCAGTGGTCCTTCCTGCCTACAAAATAAGCATGTGCACATGACACATGACTTTGTGTTACATGGAGATGCTGACCTGATGTTGCAGAAGGAACTGATGACACACAAAGATGCCAAAGTAGGTAAAAGAAAAACATTTACTTTGCTAGCAAAGGGTCAGCCTCCACCAAGAGTGGTGCCATATGACCACCATTGGGCTGGGTTACAACCTGCCTTTTCTAGGAGTTTTATAATCATGACCTCATTTTAGGTAGTTAAGAGAAGATACTCTAGTTCTCTCAGTTCCCATCACCATATCATGGTCACAAGACAGTTTAATTTTAATCCAAATATAGCAGTTAGCTATTCTAGCCCACAAGAATGGGGATGAGTGTTAGGAAAACAGGACTGGTGACATTTCTTTCCATCTAAACTCTTTTTTTGGGGGGGCTTTAATTGAGTTTATTGGTATATTTTAGGGATACAGTACAGTTACATTCATTGTTGGGATATTGTACAATAGTCATATGATTTATAGAAAGTTTAGAGTCTAAGTGTACTTTACTTGTAAGGTATGGCAATTGTTATCTTAATTTAAACATCTGGTCTTACCCTGGGGATGTGGCTGAGTACCTCTGGCATCTGTTAATCTTTTAACATTTTAAACTGGAGCTATGTGCCATCAAGATTTGTAGTTAATGATGAAACCTCTGGTACTGTTGTCCTAAGAAACAAGCAGAGCAAAACAAATTACAGAATCAAAAGACAGCAATTATTCTGTATGTCGTTAACATTTAGCAGGTTTCAGACTATTTATAGAAGTTCTCTTTATCACTGAGACTTCCCTTTGCTCAGCCAGCCCCAAGCCCATGCACGTGAAGATAAACTCTTGGAGAATTCTGGTTATGATGCACCAAAACACATTCCTTCACTGATACCGTTAGCCTAGTATTTCTCCTGGGAAATAATTTTTAAAAAGCTCTTTTAAAGCAGCAGCCAGAAACTGTTCTGCTAATAGGCAATGATACTGTACTATCAAAGTGTGGATTTAAATTAGTTTAGCCATTTCTTTGCAATTGCAGTGGGCTTCTATGTCATTTCACAGCATCTCCATCCTTCCAGTCCCAGGGGATGCACAGGTCACCGTCCTGCAACACAGAGTAGAAATGGGACATGCATAGGTGCACGTGCAGGGCCAGCTGTGGGTGCAGGGTGAGCCCCTCAGAGCAGGCCACCTTCTGCCAGGTGGAGACGCTGGGCTCCTTGTACAGCTTCACCAGGGCGAGCTTCTCGGTGGAGGCGTGGATCAGCTGCTCTTCCACAACCTTTAACTGCTCCATTCTGTTCAGGTTTTCTCTTGCCTGCTGGGCTTTGGTGAGAAAAAATCACTGCAGATTTGCTGGGTCACAGAGCATTGGGATGTTAAAATGCCCCAGTTCGTGAAGGCTTGGCACATACCTGTCACTGTTGAGGGTCATCTGTAAGCCCTGAAGACTCTGAGGGTGGAAAGGTGCTCTGCTGTGCAGCAGCCTGCGGTGAAACACATCAAGGACAGAGAAGTACCCTTCAAGGGTCAGCACTGGCTGCAGCTCCTCAGTGTAAACCACTCGGATGCCCCCCCAAAGCCTGCTTATTTGGTCTTCTAAAAGCATCAGCTTCCTCTGGAGGTCTAAATAACTTGGCAACCTTTCAAAAAACTTGCTCCAGTGGTGGTGGACATCCATGGTGCCTTGCATCACGTGGCCCACCGTGCTCACACCTAAGTGGTCAGTAAAGATGAGTGTGCAGCCTTTGGCTTTCTGCAGGGTCTCTGGGCTCTTCTGCGTGAGGAGGCACAAACTGTGCAGCGGGCTGCAGTGGTGCTCCATGCCCCAGCTTCTCTGCCACCTGTGACAGACAAGGTGTAAGCCTCACCTGCAGGGACATAGGCTCCCTTTGAAAGAAAGAAGTCCTGACACTTTGTGAGGTTTATATACAGTGATACCTTTGCCTCAAGTCAGCTTGGATGCATCTGGTACCTAGAGAGAAGGTATGAAGGCCATTCCTTTGCTACAATGTCTAATTCAAGACTTGAATACCCTATAGGCTGTTAAGCTGGTTCTCCATCCTGCATAAACACTCCTAAAGCCATACCCTACCTTTCATAGTCATACAGATTGAAATGGTGTCCTTTCACTAGTCTCAGTGCTGGGGCATTTATAATTGCTTAGCTAAGCTTCTGGAATGCAGTTTGGTAATCGGATTCTCAAGTTAAAACATGAGTATCTGCCTTTTGGGCTCTCTTTAAAGTTCATAGAAGTTCCATGCAACCTCACCATATTATTGCTATGCAAAAGCAACAAAAGCCTGTAATTCCTAGGAATCCCCTTAGTTGCTTTAGGCTGGAAGAATGAATGTATCAGTTTAATTCTCTCATCACACAGCTTTAGGGTTCCCTTAGATGTGATACAGCCCAAATATTTTACCTCAAGGCTGCAAAGTTGTGCCTTAGACCTAGAGAACTTATAACCTCTGTCTGCTAGAAAATTCAGCAGAGCATGAGTGCCTTGGTTAGAGAGCTCTTCTGAGGGGAGACATAACTATATCATTTCTGTATTGCAAGGCGGTAACTTGGAAAAATTTAAAACATGTGAAATCATGGGAAAGCACTTGTTAAAAATGATAAGGGGGCCAGGGATTTGGCTCAGTGGATCCACTGCCTACCTTGCAAGCACAAGGGGCCAAGTTCAATCCCTGTACCACTAAATAAATAAATAAATAAATAAGATGAGGGCTCTCTCAGAACCCTTGAGAATGCACAGTCCAAATCAGCTGAGAGTCCTGGTCATGCAAATTTTCAAAAGCAGAAAGAAACTGAGAATATGTATGTAAAAGAATACAAAAAGGGCATTTTTAAAATCTAAAACTGAAAAGCAACTGGCATCTTCCAGGATCTGAGAAAAGAGAATGGCTGGGTTGGCTACCACCAAGTGGATTGGCACAATTGCATCATGTAACAATCTAAGGTCCTGTACTAACCTCTACTCTGCATTGGGTTTTTGAATTCCCAAGATCGCAGTGTTGGAAGGGCCATTATACTGTGTAAGTAGACTTTGTGCCTTTAAGTTGTCAATTATAGGAAATAGTCCTCTTTTAATATCAGGGCCTTAAGAAGGTATTTTCTATTGTGAGGAAAAAGAGTGGAATCTTTGAGATGTATTGGCACCAGTGCTGTTCTTATTGTGCCATTGTTCTTATTGCTCTTCTTGTTCTATCTATTCTACCTTTAGTTACCCATACTTCAGGATTTATTTCTATCTCCACAAGTGGCAGATAGCATACCTGACCTGGGCACATGTATATAACAGTATTCAAGCAAGGTAAGATATCTCTGCCAGGAGAACTGGACTTTAAAGCACAATTAAAAAAGAATGAGTGATGAAAAGCTGTTGCTGCTATTGATGCATAACATACTGCTATTATTAGTCTTTTTATATAAATATATATATATACATATATATACACATATATATACATAAATTGAATTTTGGGAAACTTTAACAGTGCTGCCAACTTTGCAAAAAGTCATCCCAATTTACTGTGTTGAGTTGGCATTGTACAGAAATGGACAGCCATCATATTGGTCTAGAAATGCTAATTTTTTTATTTTTATTTTTTTCATCTATAAAGGGGTAACACATCATACTAAATATGTAAGGTCGCATCTACGTGGGTTTGATTACAGAAACTAATAAAGTATTCTCTAAATAATGAAAAAAAGAATAAGATAAGACTATAAGAGCAAGAAGCAATTTAAATATGTTCAGGGACCATTTTCATCTTCAGAATTAAGGATTATTTTAATGTTACATCATTGCCTTTTCTCTTTTACTTTCCATTTTAGTTTCATTTTAGGATTCCCTATTTTTAATGTTCATACAGAGATTTCTTTAACTGAAATTCCAAATAGTTTCTTTGGTGTGAAAAACTATAATAGTACACAGGATCCTAATGAGATAATTAGGGCTAAAAGTGTAGAGAAAGTGGGAAGGATGGGGGAAAGGTAATAAGGGAGAGGAAAAATATGAGAAACTGAAAAAATGGAAATAAAGTGTTTATAAATGGGGAGGGGAGGAGGGGGTGAAGGGAGGGCAGGGACAAGGGGAAAAAATGAGAATCAAGACCTATTATGCAAAGGTACAGAATCCTAATGATGAATGTAACTGTATTGTGTACCTAGATTGTACCAATAAACTCAATAAAAGAAAAAAAAGAATGAGTGAATAAAAAGCTGTTACAATTACAGTATAAGGGTTGTGAGAAATAGAGTTATCGCCTCTCCCATAACTACTTTTTCTGAAGTAAGATGACTAGAAAGACGGCCAAGGTTGAAAAGAAGGATCAAGAGACACACACAAGTGTCCAGCGATAGACTGGTTGCTTTTTTCTCTGTAGTCATAATGACTAGGGGCTTCTCCATGGACGTGACTGTCCAACCAGAGGGAGAAGGCAGAGAATGCCTGGGGCCCTTCAGTCTTGCTAGACCAGCTGGTAAGATGTGTCTCATTCTTGAGAAATCCATCTTAGGGGGCAATCTGTCTCCAAGTGGTCACCTTTGAAATCAAGGCAAGGCTTGGGGGTCCTCTTGTTGTGACAGCTTTAATCACAGTCCCTCATAAAGTGGCCTGGTTTTCTACATTGATAGCAGGTGAATTTAGTCATTGAGCTCTTCTTATAGACCTGAGAATCAAACTTAGAGAATATCCTTTTTAAGGCCACAACCAAGGCAGCCATTTTCTCTTGGTGGCTGTGATTTCTCCCTTTGGCCTGCTCTTGGTCTTGCTTATAATATACTGAGGAGGCAATTTTCATTAAAGTATCAAGTGAACTATATGGTGAAAAAGGCATCTTCTGTAGCTTTTTCCTAATATCTGAAGCTGACTGGATAATGAATATGTCTTTAAGAATAACCTTCCCTGATTCCTAGATACATATGAATCACCAAAGTTGAAACAAGAAGATATAAAAATTTGAATCAAGCCAATATCAATCAATGAAATTGAAAATGCAATAAAATTCTTACAAACAAAGAAAAGCCCGGGTCCTGATGGGTTCACTGTTGAATTCTATAAGAAATTTAGAGAACACTACTTCTCAAACTCTTTAATGAAATTAAAAGGGAAGCAATACTCCCAAATTTATTCCTGGAAGCAAGCATTACGCTCATACCAAATCCCCAGAAGGATCCAACCAAAAAAAAAGGGAACTACAGGCCTATCTCCCTAATGAACATAGATGCAAAAATCCTCAATAAGGCAAAGATAATACAGAAGATTGGCAAGATTATCATACACCCTGACCAGGTGGAATTCATACCAGAGATGCAGGGACGGTTAAAAATGTGTAAATCGATAAAAGTTATACACTACAGAAACAGAGTCAAGGACAAAAGCCATATGATTATCTCAATAAATAGAGAAAAATCATTTGACAAAAATCAAACACCCATTCATGATAAAAAGAAACTACAGAAAATAGGAATAGATTATTTTTAATTCAACCTAATAAAAACCATCTATGAGGCCATCTCCAACACCAGAGGGCCTGCTCAGCCATGCCCTCCCTGCCAGAGCCCTGCCATCTCCAGCTCCAGAGGGCTTCTTTGGCTGCCCCTTCCCCTGCCAGCACCGCTGCCACCATCTTCAGCACCAGAAAGGTAGCCACGCAGGTGCCCCTGAATACCCCCAACCCCCCCTCATGCTTTCAGACCTCCTGATTGTGCCAGTCTTTAGACCTACTCTGTAGAGGCAGGGGTGGTCATAAAGGGTATTTTCTGAGGCTCCCAACTTTGAACATCTTTAAGAAGGAATGGGGGAAACCTATAGTAGAACTGTGTGGAGTTCAACCCTTCAGGAGGTTGGGGAACTCAGTCTGGACCTTGCAGCCCTAGGTCAGTCTGTGTCATGGGGTTCTGCCACCAGCTCACTGAGATCCAGGGACTTGGCTCTGCACATGGCAGCGCATGTTGTATATTATGACAGCAGTGATATAGTCTGAAAGAGGCCCTTCAAACTCATTTCTTTCTTTCTTTTTTTCATTGCACTCTGCAAATTCTTTTTTTTTTTTTTGTCTTCTTTCTCCAACTCATTTTCTTGCTCCACTATATTATCCCTCAGCTCCCTTTTGGTTTCTGCTCCTAACTCAGATTTCTTCTTTTATTAGTTTTTCTCTTTTCTTTATGTTCTTTTCTTATGTCATTCTACCTCACTCAAGGGTTATTATACTTCTATTCTGTTTATCCCTTTTGAATTGAGTAGTTTCCTGATGATTGTGTGGTCATTCTACTAATCTGGATTCATGCGAAACCTTCTCTAATTCTTTTACTTATCTATTCTTGTTTTAACTCTGTCTTAAGACCCCTACCTAAATAGTAAATATCCTTATTGAAAAGTTTATTCACTGAAAATATATTTCGGATTGCTTCTTGATTTTAATTTAATTCACATGGTTTGAAGGTGATAAACTGATGACTACTATAAGGGGTCAATTTACAAGTTGTGCTTGATCATATTGTGGTGCTGATTGTATCAATTAGGATAAAGGATTGTGATTGATTCAATGAGCTGTTTTCTTTGGTACTGTGAAAATGAGAATGTCTATGAGTCATTAAGCCCAACTATATCAGGAAGATTTAAGTAATAACCTAAAGATTAAACTAAGGACAACACAACAACAATAGAAAAAATGAGAAAATGTTTAACCAAGATACAGGGACAGACTTGCAGTTCAACAATGTCAAATAGTGGGGCAAATGAGGATGAAAAGTCTGACAGTGAACCATCAGAACACCCTGAACTCAAAGCACAGGAAGTAACAAAACTGATCAATCAGGCTCTATAGAAATTTATTTTTTTTCTTTTTATTGAGTTCATTGGTACAATCTATGTATATAATACAGTTACATTCATTATTGGGATCCTATACCTTTACATAATAGGTCTTGATTTTCATTTTTTCCCCTTGTCCCTGCCCTCCCTTCACCCCCTCCTCCCCTCCCCATTTATAAACACTTTATTTCCATTTTTTCAATTTCTCATATTTTCTCCTCTCCCCCACCCTTCCCACTTTCCCTAGGCATTTAGCCCTGTACTTCCTATTTCACATTATTAATTATCTTTTTAGGATCCTGTGTACTATTATAGTTTTTCACACCAGAGAAACTATTCAGTATTTCAGTTAAAGAAATCTCTGTATGAACATTAAAAATAGGGAATCCTAAAATGAAACTAAAAAGGAAAGTAAAAGAGAAAAGGCAATGATGTAAGATTAAAATAATCCTTAATTCTGAAGATGAAAACGGTCCCTGAACATATTTAAATTGCTTCTTGTTCTTGTAGTCTTATATTATTCTTTTTTTCATTATTTAGAGAATACTTTATTAGTTTCTGTAATCAAACCCACATAGATATGACCTTACATATTTAATGCAGTGCATTACCCCTGTACAAATGGAAAAAAATTAACATTTCTAGACCAATATGGCTGTTAATTTCTGTACAATGCCAACTCAACACAGTAAACTGGGATAACTTTTTCCAAAGTTGACAGCACAGTTAAAGTTTCCAAGAATTCAAATTGTATATATGTGTGTGTCTGTGTGCGTGTGTGTTTATTTATATTTATATAAAAAAGACTGATAATAGCAGTATGTTATTCATCAATAGCAGCAACAGCTTTTCCAGGTTCTGCAGTCATCTGAACAAAATTATGGAGACATCCAGCACACTCCATTAAAAAAAAAAGAAAGAAAAGAATAATACTCAGAAAACAACAAAGTTCTGTTATTGCTGTCATAGCTGGCACCATTTTTTTATTAGCATCTTAATCATCATCTGGAAAGGAAACATTCTAGAGTAACATCATTAAAAACAACTCTGATAAAGCACGGTCACTACTATATATCATAAAGCAGATACAAGATATTTTGCCTTCACAGAGGTACGATATAGTACTGTCCTACATCTATAATGCTAGAGGATACAAATAAAAAGGCATTATTTCAGACTTGATTCTACTTTTCCAGCAGAGTGCCCAAAAGACGATATGACACAGCTCCGTAAAGAAATGTACTTTCTTAAATAGGATTTCCTTTCATCAATGGCACAGTTCCTCTACTCTTTTAGACTTTTCTTCCTATTACATTCCAAATATGCAAATTATATATCTATATGTATATATATATGTTTATTTATTTATATTTATATAAAAAGAACAATAATAGCAGTATGTTATGCATCAATAGCAGCAACAGCTTTTCCAGGTTCCGCAGTCATCTGAACAAAATTATAGACAGTCAGCACATTCCATTAAAAAAACAAAAACAAAAAACAAAGAAAAGAATAATATGC